TGGCCTACTTAACCCCATAAGGAACCCTGATGGCCTAATGGTAAGAAGCTGCACTGCAACCCTGCAGGCATGTAGTTTAAATCCACCGGCTGCTCTGTTGGAGGAAGATGTGCAATCTCCTCCCATACAATTAACTACCTCTGAAAAATCCATCAAAGGGTCAGCTATGGGTTGATTCCGACTAGATGATATATACAACAACACTTAACACCATGGCGCTGGCCTAAGCAAATTCTTTTTCAGTTGCTGGAAGTCCCCACAGCATCAGCAGAAATGCCTCAATCCCTGAAAGCAGACTTTCCTAAAGCAACTCATCTTTTGATGTTTTAACTGCTGGTGCCAAGAATATATAGATGCGAGCCACTTTTCACTCACAGTCTCTGACATACCTACTCCATTGCCACAGTCACTGTGTCAATCTGTTCCATCCAGAGTCTTCATCTCCTACACAAACCCTCTACCCTCCAAAGTATGATGTTCAAGGATAAGTCCCTCCTGACAACATGCCCAAAATATGTGCGATGTATCTTCAAAATCCTTGCCTTTAAGGAGCAACCTGGTTTCATCATTTCTAGGACAGGGCTGCTTGTTCTCTTGGCAGTACATGTATATTCAGTACTCTTCTCTAGCACCACAACTCAAAGGCATCGATTCTTCTGTCATCCTTAGACAGTCTCTGCTTTCTGATACATAGCAAGTAATTGCAATGACCATGGCCTGGATCAGGCATACCTTAGTTTCTAGACTTACATCATTGCTCTTCAGCACTCTGGAGAGGTCTCTGACCACAAACTTGCCCAATGCAACTTGTCTTTTGATTCCTTGACTGCTGGTGCCAAGAATGTTGATTATGGATCTGAGAAAGATGAAATTATTAACAATCTCGAGCTCTTCTACAACTATCAAGATGTTGCCAGTTTTACCAGTAATGAGAATCTTTGTTTTATTCATTTTGAGATGCAGTCCATATTGGAGTCTACAGTCTTTGACCTTCTCTAGCAAACACTTCAGGTCCTTTTCAGTTTTGGCAAGTATGGTTGTGTTATCAGTGTTCCTCCAATCCTGATACCACATTCCTCCTCATAAAGTCCAGCCTGAATAATGATCTGTTCCACATATAGATTGAAAAAGTAAGGAGAACAAAAAAAAAAGAAAGAAAAAGTAAGGAGAAAGGACATATCCCTGATGCACTCCTTTCCTGATTTTGAACGATGCAGTGTTTTGCTTTGTTTGGACAGATTCTTGATCTACTTATAAGTTTCACATGAGCACAGCCACAATTTATTGTGATCCACATAGTCAAATGCCTTTGCATTGTCAGTAAGACACAAATAGACATTCTTCTGGTGCTCTTTACTTTCAGACAAGATCCATCTGACAATGGCAATGATGCCCCTTTAATCCCAGTTTGTATTTCTGATACACTGAGGAATCCGGAGCTATTAAAAGAAGGCTTTAGGTTACGGAGAACTCAGTACCAGAGACAGAGAAAGCTCGTGGTTGCCAGCTCTTAATCTAAACACAATGCTCACGGCATAGGACAAATTTGTTATTAGGTGACAGATTGGTTTCAACTCATAGTGACCACATGTGTGAGACTGTGACACACTGCCCAGTCTTGGACTATCCTCACTGCCACTCTCGTGCTTGAACTCACTGTTGTAGTCAGTGCTATTTTTGTTGAAAGTCTTCCTCTTTCTCGCTGACTTTCAGCTTTATCAAACATGAATGTCTTTCTCCAGGAACTGGCCCCTAAGGCTAAGATACTCAAAGTATATGAGAGGAAATCTCATCATCCTTGCCACCAGAGAACATCCTTGCTGTGCTTTGTCCAAGACAGGTGTGTTTGTTCTTTTGGCAGTCCAGTGTGCGATGACAGATTACTCACATTTTATCGGAGGTTCATGAAGAATGGTCAGAGACAAATACCAGACCAGTCTACCTTAGTGGTATCAGGAGAAGAGTTGCATTCTGGGACCTTTGCCATCATTATAGTATTATCAAAGACATTTCTCCACATTACTGTAGGGAGACTCTGGTAGTGACTTTAGGGGGAAATTTCACTGCTAACCCAAAGTTTATGCTTCTCTGGCTCCCTGTGAGAAAAATGGGCAATCTCCTCTCCTGTGACTTATAGCCTTGGAAACCTGGTGAAGGATTAGCTATGAGTTAGTACTGACTGGATGGCCATGAGAAAGACAGAGAGAGTGAGAGAAAGGAAGGGATAGAAGGTAGGAGGGAGAGAAACAGAGAGAGAAGAGAAAAGCTGGAGAAAGAGAGAGAAGGGAGAGAGATTTCAGAAAGAAGACGAGGAAGAAAAAGGAGAAAGAGCTAAACAATGAATTAAACCCAGAGAGTCCTTTTTTTTTTTTTTAAATATGAGAGAGTTTTTAAATGGTACTCATTGTGCTTATTTACGGTTTTGTACTGGTTTTTATTTCTAGCATACTCCTTGGAAGATTGGGCTGGATATATGAAGGATCCCATTGTTGATTTAGCTTGCAGATGTATGAACATATAAAGCTCCACCACCACTTTGACTCACTAAGTCTACTCCTTAAACATAACACAGAGATTGTTGTTGTTTGAGGTGCTGATAAGTTGCTTCTGAGTCATAGCAACCATATGGGCAACTAAACAAAGCAGCACCGAGCTCTGCACCCTCCTCACGATGACTGCTGTGCCTGAGCTCCTTGCTGCAGACTTCGTGCCAGTGCTTCTCATTAAAGGCCTTCCTCTTTTCACTAACCCTCTAACAAGCATGGAGATTTACCCAAACAAAACACACTGAAAACGGTAGTCTTTGAGGCACAGGTTATTATTGCTATGTGTTAAAAATTCTAAAATAGTACGAGAGTCTGGACAAATAAATTATAATACTTGCATAAAGATTCACAATGTGCATACAACCAATGAAACCTAAAGTAGATTTATAAGTATTGTCATAAAAACATCACTAAATTATATGAAATAGAAAAAGTAAGGTGATGGAATTTTATTCTTTTTTATATTTGTATACACTTATACACATAAAACTGTATACCCAGAATGTATCTTGGTATAAAAGTGGAGGGAGATTTACTTTGCATCTTAAATTCTTTTATATTTTTTTATGTTGCTATTTTTTGAAATCAATATATGCATCGATTTTATAATGAAAAAGTGAAATTTGTACCTCAAATCTCTTCTTCAGGGCTCCACTCCAACAGCAAGAGATTTAAGTATGAGAATTGAGTCTTTGATTTTATATATATGTACATATACAGTGATTCCCTCTTTTACTAAAATTAACCTGTAATTTTTTTATGACTACTGAGGAAAAGTAATCTAGAAACTGAAACAAAAGCACCATCATTTTTCTCCTACCTTTGCATAGTTTTATTACATTTTTAAAAATTCTGTACCTGAAGTCATTCCTTTCAAAAACTGGGATGAGAGGGGGTTTCAACAAAGAAAAGAGATTGTATTTTCTTTATTTAGCAGTCTGAAGGCCTACAATCTCCTCTGATATTGAAGCCCAGAGCAGAGAGACATGACAAAATGATTTGGAGAAGGTGATCATCCAGAGAAGATAAATAGAGGCTACAATTGTTTTGGCCTGAAAAATCAATTCAGTTGTCTATGGATTTCATGGGAGGAAAATCACCTTTGCTGAGGAAAATATTTTTTTTTTACTTCTAAAGGAACCAAATCAACTTCAGGGAGGAGGGAGGCCTTTTTGAGGTGATGACCCTTCCCTCTAACTAAGGTTGAAACTTTACAGAGAACTAGGGAACACATGCTTACTTCTCAGCATTGAATTAAAACATTGCCATCCTTTATTGTTGTTCAGCGACAGGCATTACTCACTGGGTTATACAGGCTAGAGGAGCAAAAAGCTGTCTCATGCTGTGAGGGTAACAGACTGATGAGCTGATGAATAAAAACAAAGCACACAGAAGATTCTCAAAGTGACAGAAGGATTGGAGAGAAATGTGCAGAAAGAATTGTCAACTGAGCAAATGATTTCCTGACCGCTAGTGTCCTTCGCCTACTGCAACTTCCTCATGTTTTTTAGGAGACCTGTAAAAAGAATAGGGGTACTGGTTAGTGAAGTTAAAACGCACTGCTTCTAACCAAAAGTTCTGTGGTTTGAACCCTTCAGCTGATCAGTTGAAGGGAGATGTGGCAGTTGGCTTCCATAAAGATTTACATCCAATGAGGCCATTCTCCTCTGACCTCTTTGGTCACTATGCATTAGAATCAATTCAATGGTAGCAGACTTTGGGTTGGCAAGAAGGACAAGTATCATGACTTTTCTGTAAGAAGCACACAGAAGCAACTTCTGGGTAAAGACCAGCCAGAGATCTCTGGCTTGTGATGGGCACTCACTTTGGAACCAGCTGATTGCTTGGGGTGAAGAATTAAAGAAAAGAAACAAATAACTTGTTTAATATTTGTCATTAGGGGTGAGAGTACAGGAGGAATAAAGTGTTGGGACAGGCAAAACATAGTTCAAGTGGTCCAGTAAAAAAAGAACAAAGTATTGGAGTACTGGAATCATGGGAAGATAGGAAGGGAATTGTCATCTGTAGACCTTTCCTACTCACTTGTTCCACCCTTGTTTTCTCAGTTAATTGATAGTCATGCTATCTTGACTATCAAGCAGTTCCGATTTCTTGGTACCAGCATTCAGGAGAACAGAAGACATATTGCATTGGGAAAATTTGGACCTTTCCAAATTAGAAGAGCAATGTTTTCAGTTTGAAGACCAAGATGTGCCTGATTAGGCCATAGTCTTTTCAATCACTTGCTAAGAATCTGAAAACTGGACAATGAATAAGGATGACAGAACAAGAATTGATGTGGTTTTTTTATATTTAAATTTCTTTTATTTGGTGAGTCAAACTCATTACAGTTGTTATTACTTAGATATTTAAGGCAGCACACGGTTTTATTAAATGGTGGAAAATACAAATTAAGCAATCATCCAAATCATCTTTAGATCCCTGTGTCCTTTCTCATGCCTTCACTATTGTTTTCCCCAAATTCTCTCCTTTCAGCATTCCCATAAATGCAGCTGGCATGTTTTCAAATCCTCCTTTGATGTATTCGCAGTATTTGATTTTACCCTCTAAGACCCATTTCATCAAGTCTTTCAGAGCCTTCTGGCGTACGTCCCCTTGCCAGCGGATGACGATGAACTCTTCCATGCGGAGTTCCTGATAGATGACAATCTCTGGGGGTGGGCCTGGGGGTAGTGGACGAGTACTGTTATACGTAGAAATGGCCCCACATATCGCAATTCTTCCAAATTTTTTCATCTGGGGGATAACAGTATTTGAAAACTCTCCACCCACATTATCAAAATAGCAATTATAACCATCAGGAGATGCTTTTTTCAAAGTGTCTTTCAAAGAGTCTACTGTCTTGTAGTTAAAGGCAACATCAAATCCAAGCTGTTTAAGGTAGGCAACCTTGTCATCAGACCCAGCTGCTCCAACCACTTTACAGCCCTTGAGTTTAGCTATCTGTCCAACAACAGCTCCCACTGCTCCTGCTGCTGCATTAACCATCACTGTTTCTCCACCCTTTACACCACAGATATCAAGTAAGCCAAAGTAGGCTGTTAGGCCTGTCATGCCAACTGTCCCCAGAGCCAAAGACAGTGGTAATGTATCTGGCCACTCTGTTGGCAGCTTTTCCAGTTCTTTCCCATCAGAAATGGAGTGTGTTGTCCAGCCTGAAAAAGCCAGAACAACAGTCCCTACAGAAAAGGCTGAGTTTTTACTTTCCACAACTCTGGCTAAAAATGTGGAACGCTTCACAAATTTGCGTGTCATCCTTGCACAGGGGCCATGCTAATCTTCTCTGTATCATTCCAATTTTAGTATATGTGCTGCCGAAGCGAGCACAAGAATTGATGTTTTTGAACTGTGGTGTTGGAGAAGAGTATGGGATATCCCATTGACTGCTGAAAGAACAAACAGAATTCTCCTTGGAGGCAAAACTTTGTCTCACATATTCTGGGCATCACGCTGGGAAAGGTGGAGATTGGCAAAAGAGAAGAAGATGGAGTGACACAGTGAATGCAGGAACTGGCTCAAGTGTGTCTGAGATTGTGAGGATGGCACAGGATAGAACAGAGTTCAGATCTTTTGTTCATAAAATTGCTATGAGTCGTACTTAGCATGATGATGTCCAACAATAACAACAACATTCATGTGAAATAGTAATAGCTAGCACCTTTTCATAGGGAGTTTTCATGGCTTAGTGGTAAGGAGATGCATGGTCAACACATGGCTCAAATCTACCAGCTTCTCTATTGGATAAAGACAGGCAAGCTCCTCCCATGCAGTTTGCTGCCTCTGAAGACCTAGTAGAGGAGTCAGCTATGTGTTGGTTCTGAATTGATGGTATATAACAACATCACATTTTTTAATAGATGAAGGAACAGGCATTCAGAGAATAAGCCTCCTGTCTGACAATTATTATTAATGTAAATTATTATTAATGTAAGTGATGTAATGTAATGTAATGTAATGTAATGTAATGTAATGTAATGCGTCCTGTCTCCATACCTTTTCAACCTGTATGCAGAACAGATTATCTGGGAAGCTGGGATCTATGAGGAGAAATGTGGGGTCAGGATTGATGGAAGATCTATCAACAATCTGCATTATGCAGATGACACAATCGTCCTTGCTGAAACTGAGGAGGACCTGAAGCGCTTGCTGTAGAGGGTCAAGGACTGCAGCCTTCATTATGGATTGAGGCTCAATGTCAAAAAGATAAAGATTCTCACCACTGGACCAATTGGGAGCATCACGATGGATGGTGAAGAGGTTGAGATTGTTCACAGCTTTAGTTTGGTTGGCTCCATAGTAAACACTCTTGGCACCAGCAGTCAGGAAATTAAGACTTATTGCGGTGGGAACATCTGCTGTTAGGGACCTCTCCAAAGTACTGAAGAGCAATGGTGTCTCTCTGGAGAATAAGGTGCATCTGATACAGGCCATGGTCTTTGCAATCTCTTGTTGTGAGTCAGAGAGTTGGACAATGACTAGGGAGGATAGAAGGAGAATTGATGCCTTTGAGCTGTGGTGCTGGAAAAGAGTGTTGAGGGTACCATGGACTGCTAGGAAAGCAGATTCATCCTGGAGAGGATTAAACCAGGAGGCTCCTTGGAGGCAAGGATTCTGAGGCTTCTTCTAACATACTTTGGACATGTTTTAAGGAGAGAACAGTCCCTAGAGAGGGACATCATGTTTGGGAGGGTGGAGGGACAGACAGCACAGGAGAGGTGGATTGATTCAGTGAGTAGGGTAATGGGAGTAGGTGTGTCAGAGGCAGTGAGATTGGCACAGGATATAGTTTAGGGTTCACGTACATAAGGTCACTATGAGTCATGAGCAACTCGACAACACATAACACAACAAGTAATGTAGTCAACTTTCTGACCTACTGATCTGTTTCCAAACCTGTGCTCTTCCTATTGCAATATGACTTCTCTTATTACAGTGGTGCACACTTAGAAAGTACATGGTCAATCTATCTTTGCCAGTAACCATCTTTATTGTGATTTTTTTGTTGCCATTGAATTAGCTCCAGTCCATGATGAGCTCAGGCATAACGTGACGTGACGTGACGTGACGTAACGTAACGTAACATGGCCTTGTCCTTGATGCTTGCTGTTTTGTGTGCCTTGCTGTGGCTGTTGTGCAGTGCCTTCCAACCTAGGGGGTTTATTTTTTAGCACAATGTAGAACAATATTCTGTTGGGATCCAGATGAGTTTTCATTAGTTAATTATGGAAAGTAGACCACTTGGACTTTCTTTTTAGTCTTTCTAGATATTCTGCTGATATTCATCCATCATAGGTAACCCTACAAATATTTACTATGTCCATCCTGGATCGCAGCAACACTCAAACCATCATAGTACTGTAAACTGACGGATCAGTGGCAGTTACCATCTTTAATCTTTGCCATTTCAAAAGTTTGTCTTATTCTTCCTCTATTTTCTGTTAACTATGTACTCAAACCCCAATTCCAATTTTACTTTTATCCTCAGAGCAAACTTTAGAGTTATCTGCTGTCACTAGATAAATTTCAAAAAGGACTAAAAGAAACTCAAATGGTTGTGGTAGGGAAAATGATGTTTTGCTTATTGCTTTGCTTTGGAGCAAATTTCTTTGAAATCAGAAACAACTAACTCATAGCTGACCCTCCAGTCAATGGGAAGTCATCTTTCTTTTGAGATTGCTGGTGTATTTGAACTGTCAGTGGCCTTTGGCTTAGTAGGATGACTCCCTGTGGACTATGCCACCAGAGCTTCTGTTACTGAACAAAGGCATTCTGGAATTTTAGGACTGGCTTTGGCTTGAATTTGTTACATAGTTCAATAACCAGTTCTAGAAAGCCTCGAGCCTAGACATTGGCTCTAATGTGCAGGAAGCATAATCTCCACTAGATGGCACTATAAAAAATGCTTTGAATCACGCTGTGCCTTCCTCTGGGCTGGAGCTGCATTTCCTATTCAGCAAATGCTTTGCCCTCCAGGGAGTCCTGGGAGCAGTTCTCCAGAGTGCTTGGCATTCCAGCTTTTGCTCAGAGTGCTCTGTTCTGATGCATCCTTCTATTCATCCTTGTCGGGAAGGGGATCATGAATGATTTATTACTAATGACTCATCATTAATGAAAAGTGCCAAAGATGAATCTCGAAAACCTGTTCTTCTTGAGAAGTTTTCTTCCTTCATGGAATCTGTTTTCTGTGAAAAAGTACCTGGCTGACCTGCACCTGACTCCTTCTCAACTAGTAAGTCACACCCTGGAGATTTTAGAAATCATTCCAAAGCAAAAAATAAACTGGATAGCAAACCTGTTTTGAGCAAGGGAAAGATGCGATCTGAGAGCTTTATTCTCCAGACAGAAGCTTGTTTTGCGGGTCATGTTAACCTGGAACCAAACCAAATCTGACAGAGTCGAGGCTCTCTGAAACCTGTTGCTGCCTCAGTCATGACTGTTGCTTCTTCAATCACGACTCTTGTGCTAGTTTGCAGTTACATGTAAAAAGACTTGTATTTTAATGAGTGAAACGAGTGATATTTTGTGTGCTTTGACCGTAACCAATCACATCACATCAGCTTTCTCACCTTAGAAACTTTGCCTAGGATGTGTCTGGAAAAGGAAACAATAGGCACTCTTCTGTGCTGTAGTTAGCTTTGTTCACTTCATCTCCACTCTCACACTGCTTAGGTCTCATTGGTGAGAAGTCGAACCCAGTGATATTTTAATTTGTTTATTTTCCCTCGTTGATCCAAAGACCTTTAAATCAGTAACCATTTCTGCCTTGTTGCTCCCTAATTCCTCAGAGCCTGATATATACCTTCCTGTGGGCCCTTGGCAGGGAGTCACGTTCCAGGGGGCAATCTCCTTCTGTGTGATTGTTTCACTGACTCTGAAAACCTGCTGGAGAATCAGCTACAGATCCGTTCTGAATTGACAGTATGTGACAGCCACCACAGTGACCCCAGAGGACCAAGGAGAACTGCCTCACATGCATTTCAAGATTCAGAATCTTTATAGAATTATACTAGCACATATTCCTCCCACACAGCAGCGAGTGGGCTTGAACCTCTGACACTGCGGTTAGAAAACAAGCCCTTCATCACTTTAACCATGGCACTACTAGGATTCCTTACCTTCCATATCAGTCACTCGTTGCCAATGAGGCATAGCTGACCCACAGTTGAGCCTATATTGGGTACCCAAGGCTAGAAATCATGTGTGACCAAGCTGTGCATCTTTCTCCCAAGAAGCTACCAATGGAGCCACATGGCTGCCTGGGGTGTGAGTTAGCTGTGCCACTAGTGTGCTGTCTGGACTGTGCCATCAGAGCTCCCAAACTTCCACATGTTGTTATTAGTGGTGGAGTCAGGCACCATCACGTTGGAACCAACTCCTATCTGACCCTCTAGTGGATTTTCAGAGATCCGTATACATAAAGGAGGACATTGCATGTCTTCATTCCCTAGAGAAGCTGGTGGATCCGAACCATGTGCTCTTGGGTTGAGTACAAATCCTTATCACTAACCCAACCTTACTATGAATGATTGTGTATTTCAGGCTAGTCTAGTCTAGGAAATTAATATCATTTGAGGGATACTCTGATGTAGATTTAGCAGATATATTTAATTTGGAAACATATGAGAGGCTTTCTATAGTGTAGTTAGGAAACTTTGGTGGCTTAGTGGTAAGGATTTGTGCTGACAACCCAAAGATATATTGTTCGAATCCACTAGCTGTTCTGTGGGAGAAAGATGGACAATCTCTTTCAGTGTCATTAAATTATCTGAAAACCCACTGGAGCATCAGTTATGGGTCAGTTTTAACTCTACAGTATGCAATAACATAGGATAAGAACAAAAATACATATTCCTAGAAAAGGAATAACAAAATTGGCTCTTACTATATATATATATATATATATATATATATACTAATAAAAAATTAGTGCATATCTTTCTTTATATTACTTGACTAACACACCAATTAAATGTCTACTTGGAATTATAAAACTGCATTTTTCTTCTGAATTCTTAGTTATAGTGGTGATTGTGGTTATGTGCTTTCATATCGTTTGTGACTTAGTGATCCTATGTACAACAGCCCTGAACCCTGCTCTATCCTGAGCCAACCTTACTGTCTCTGACACACCTGCTTCCATTATCCCAGTCACTGATTCAATCCATCTCATCGAGGATCTTCCTCTCCTGTGCTGTCCTTCCACTCTTGCAAGCATGATGTCCCCTCTCCCAGGTCCCTCCTTGCAACATGTCCAAATTATATCAGAGAGAGCTTAAAAATCCTTGCCTGCAAGAAGCAGCCTGGCTCCACTCTCTCCAGGATGAATTTGCTTGTTCTTCTAGAAGTCCATGGTATATTCAATACTCTTCTCCAGCACCACAGCTCAAAGGCATCAATTCTTTTGCCATCATCGTTAGTCATTGTCTAGCTCTCTGATATATAACAAGCAATTGGGAAGATCATGGCCTAGATCAGGCACATCCTAATCTCTAGACTGACACTGTTGTTCCTCAGTACTCTGAAGAGGTCCCTAACAGAAGATTTTCCCAATGCAATTTATCTTTTGATTTCTTGGCAGCTGGTACCAAGAGTGTTGATTGTGGAGCCAAGCAAATTGAAGCTGTTAACAATCTCAGTCTCTTCACCATATATCATGATGCTGCCAATTGTCTCAGTGGTGAGAATCTTTGTTTTCTTGATGTTGAACATCAATCCATATTGAAGACTGCAGTCCTTGACCTCAGTTTCGGCCAGTAAGGTTGTGTCATTTGCATTATATAGGTTGTTGATGAGTCTTCCTCCAATCTTGATGCCACATTCCTCCTCATAGAGCCCAGCCTCCCAGATGATCAGTTTCACATATAATTGAAAAGGTATGGAGATAGAATGTATCCCTGGTATACACTTTTGCTGATTTTGAATCATGCAGTGTTTCCTTACTCTCTCCTGATTACTGCTTCCTGGCCCAAGTGTAGATTTTGCATAAGCACAATCAAGTGTTCTTGGATTCCCACTCTTCTGAGAGTTGGCCACAGTTTGTTGTGAACCACACAAATACCTTTGCATAGTCAATGAAACACAGATAGAAATACTCTCTACTTTCAGCCAAGATACATATAAGATTGACTATAATAATCCTAGTGCCACAGCCTCTTCTAAACCCAGCCTGCACATCTGGCTATTCTCTGTTGATGTGCTGTTCCAGTCATTTTTTGATAACTTTCAACAGGGTCTTCCTTGCATGTGATATTAATGATAGAGTTTGGCAATGACTTTTGCAATTGTTTGAATTGTTGTTTGAACATTATAAACTCATGAGCTCTGTTTTACTCAATGCTTTTTTTTTGTTCTTTTGCTTCTAGTCAACATGTTATCTGAGATGTCTATAGTAGAACACAAATAGAGAGTGTTGCGCCAATGCAATAGAAAGAACTCTCAATATCTAGCTAAGGAAGCTGACTGACTCTGTGATACTATTGAACCTACTACCTATGAGCCACAATTTCTCCTTCTGTGAAATGAAGAATCTATATGAGTGGCACATTAGACACTTTCTAATTGCCCTTAATCATCCCCTCTTGATATTAATCAAACCCTTAATCATACCACGTTCGGTATTTATGTGCTTGTTTAATCTTGTGGCTTGTTTACAAGGTAAACTGAACCAAGGGATTTACTTTGAGCCAGTAGACTATGACAGAGATAATGGGTCATTATTTCTTACCAGAGGACCCTTTCCTTTGTGGGAGCACATTCTCTTTACCTCCATCTCCTTGGCCTTGATGAAGCAAACTGCCATGTTGGAGGAGCTCTTGTGATAAGGAACTGGGGCAGAGGCAGGGAGGGGACAGGTTGGGCTTGGTGCCTGGCTAACACCTCATGAGGAGCTAAAACACTTACTTAAAAAAAAAAAATTAGAGAAAACGAATCCTGCTCCAAACCACACAAGCAAACTTAGAAGTGAAACATTTCTCAGCTGAGCCTTCAGATGAGAGTCCACCCTGTCAAGTACCTTCACTCTAACTTCTGAGAGCTTATGAAGCATAACACCCAGATGAACTAGGTCTCAATTCTTGATCCACAGAAACTGAGATAATAAATTTTCATTGTGTTGTGCTTTAGCTTTTGGGAGAATTAGTTACAAACTAATAAGTAATAAAGATTTTCAAATTGATTAATGGCTTACACATTAATGATCATATACATGGTATCTCTTTCCAGAGACAACTCGTTACTTCTGACATGTTCATGTTAAAAAAAAAAGTAGTAGCTATGGTACCTATAATATCACTTTCTTTAAGGTTAATAAATTAAAAGCTCTGATATGATCTGCAGCTAACTATCAGAACACCCGAGTAACAGTGATAAGTGGGGTCAGGAAAGTTTAATAAGGAGTCTATTGGTGTATCTATTTTTTTAAGCCTGTTTCCCAACTGTAAAATAAAACGAAAACTCAGTTGTTGTCAAGTCAATGGCTCCTAGCTGATCTTCCAGTGATCTTTCCGAGGCTGTAAATTGTATAAAAGGAGATTGTCTGTCTTTCTTCCGTGAAGCAACAGGTGGATTAGAACAGTCGGAGAGATGCTGTCTCAGAGTTAGCAGCACAACTCTATGAATGACACCACCCACTGTAAATTATGGAGGATGAAACGGGGCATGGCTCTCAGAATACAGTCCCCAGAGGAGCAGCATCAGAATCATTAGGAAACCAATGACCCACCAAATCAGAAACTCTGTGGGTAGAGCCTAGTATTTGGTGTTTTAATAAGTCCTCAAGGCAATTCTGATGCATGGGGAAGTTTTTTGACATCCACTGATCTTCTCATCCTTTAAGATCTCTTACATGAACTCTACATGAATAAGACGGTAGTAATAAGGAGGTAGTTAACTAAAGTTAACTCCACAATAAGGGACATACCTTTAACTTGCTGGTCTGTCTGATACTTCTCTAAATCTGAACATTCACATTAAGACAGACTAGGAAGAAGGATTGGCCATCCACTTCTGAAATAGCAGGCCTCTGAAAACCCTATGTACAAAAGTACTGAAGAGCAATGGTATCTCTCTGGAGACTAAGGTGCGTCTGATACAGGCCATGGTCTTCACAATCACTTGTTATGCATCAGAGAGTTGGACAATGACCAAGGAGGATAGAAGAAGAATTGATGCCTTTGAGCTGTGGTGCTGGAGAAGAGTATTGAGAAAACCATGGACGCTAGGAAAACAAACAGATTTGTCCTGGAGAGGGTTAAACCAGGTGGCTCCTTGGAGGCAAGGATTCTGAGGCTCCGTCTAACATACTTTGGACATGTTGTGAGGAGAGACTGGTCCTTGGAGAAGGACATCATACTTGGGAGGGTGGAGGGACAGTGCAGGAGGGGAAGGCCCTCTATGAGGTGGATTGATTCAGTGACTGGGATAATTGGGATGGGAGTGTCAGAGACAGTGCAATTGGCACAGGACAGAGCAGAGTTTAGGGCTGTTGTACACAGGGTCGCTATGAGTCGCAAGCGACTCGACGGCACATAACAACAACAACAATAAGGAGACATGTTTACTGGTAATATGCCAGGCCTGATAAGAAGGGTTTTATGTTCCTTGTCTCATTAATCTTCACAATATACCATGAAGCAGATACTTCTTATCTGTATTTCAGTATATACGTATGAATGCAACAAAATCCAGTAAGCTCTCTGATGTACTTGCTTCTTAAGGTGAGGGGCAACATTTTATTTATTGGTAAACTCCCGTAATCTTGTCAAGATTCCATAATTGTTTGTACATGTTAGTTAGTTGTAACAGTACATATCTGAGGAATGAACTAGTTAAAGAATGAATCAACAAATTCATTTAAGAATAAAAATTATGGGAATAAGTAGTTGAGGTTTTTGATACTGTTTTCTGGAGAACTCTGGTGGCCTGTTGGTGAAAAGTTGTGCTGTCAACCTGAAGGCATGCGGTTTGTATCCACTGCCGCTGCTATGCAGGGGATAGATGGACATTCCCTCCCTTGGAATTATCAGCCTCTGAAAACCCACTGGAGAGTCAGCTGTGAGTATCAGCTATGAGTTGATTCTGACTCAAAGGTACACAACAGCAAGACATGTTTTCTAGACAGTAACTAGAAAAGACGGTCTGGAAAAGGTTGG